AACCTATTTTTACTTTCCTTGGAACGGCTAGTAGCCCTGAACGGGTCACCGCGAAATGAGACAACTAGCTAGTTGTAGCATCGCGGGATTCCATCTACGCGACCATAGGATCCTATTGATTTTGTTCCTACGAGTCTTTCCAATCAATAAGTTGTGGTAATCATTCTAAAGCAAATATCAATAGGTAATTTTTAGGTGTTATTCTGAATGTTTGCTGTCTGATGGTGTTCGTATCGCTTCGGACCCATCCATTGGTCCCAGCACTAATCGTGCTGTCTGTATGTGATCTGCTCCAACTCACACTTACTGTATTTGTACTATTCATTCCTGCATTACATGATTTTACTAATGCCGAACGATTCGGTGCCTTAGGTGAGTATACTGAATTGTTTACTTCTATTATAATTTTCTATAAGCGGACAACGCAGTTTTGTTTCATGGCAGAACAAAAAATGCATGTCAGCGATGCGCGCGGTTGCGATGCGGCTTTGAAATTTTAAAGCAGTATGTTCATAAGAACTGTAGCTGTGAGGGGGCCATGATGATGTGTTCGTAGTGATGTCATGAAGGGTTCGTAATGTGGCAAGCACCAGTTTCTGGGGCGGGGCGCGTCGCAACCGCACGCGTCGTTGTAATGTGTTGCCTCCTTTTTCCTGGTCGAGATTTTACGACCTTATTCTCTGAGCTCTTCAACCTTGACTCAAGTCACGAGATATTTTTTCAGGGCAAATAGCCTACTTGTCAACCGGGCTACTGTCGCCTCTGTTATTAGCGTTCAATTGTGCGAGTATTTGGACAATCTGTTACATCTCAATAAAGCGTCATAAGGTCTGTTTCCGTCAGAATTCTCTCAAATACGAAATTTTTTGTCTAAAGTAGGATTTTGATTGCTCTCAATTTTCGGGTACTGGTATTTTACCAGCTATCAATCTCGCGAAGTCGTTTTTTGCTTCCGCAGCTTTCCCCATTCAACAAATTTACATCAGTTCTCATTTTGAATTCTTAGTGTAAAATTGTGTTTGCTGTTTCCATGCCCTCATTGAGCTGTTTGGTGGAATTCGGAGATTTCCTGTCGGTTTGTTAAAGGACCTCGAAGGATTGAAATTCAAACACCCTTTCGAAACCAGCACTTGGTAGACACTTGTACTCGTTAGGAATGTCTTTTTTCTCAAGCTCTTCAAATTTCTCCCAAGCTGTTCTCGGTAAGCCTTTCCCTAACGATATGATTCCCAAAAATAGATTGAAGTATAAATTATTTGGTGGATATTCCTGAAATGGAAAAAGCAGAAGCCAGTCATGACCATTTCGTTGGATTTCCGTGATTCACTGAAAGGATTCGAACTTAAGCACGTGACATAGGGCTGCTTCGGATCTACTGAATTGGCACTAGGGCTTTTCCAGATGCAAAATATCTTCACTGTAGGTGCAACATCCCCAAGAAATATCTAAGTTCAACTCTCTATGAATCTCGAAATTTCTCTTTCTCAATGTACATTGCACCTGTTGATCTGACATCCCAGAAATGAACTAGGCTGACCCTCGTGAACTCTATCCTCATAGTTCAGACTGGGAAACGGGTTCAAACAGTCGTTTTCTTTTGGCTGGCTTATTTCCTGCTGTGGGCTCGGGCAATGCTAAAGCCGCATCTCGGCTACCAGCTGAAACAGTGAAATCTGCTAATCAGAGGACAACTAGTATCACTTTCCTTTTTGCAGGCGATCCTTCGACCATTATCATCAATTCACGCACCATCACGACCATTCTCTCCATTGTTGGCGATCGCAGCCGCTGCGCTAATCTTCAATGGCTCAAAATGGGCTGAATTTCGATGGCAATGGCTTGACGTAGAAGTGGACAATGTGACACGGAAGTTTCTCGCTCATGAACCGTCGGATCTTGCCTATAACGAGACCTACAGACAAATGGTGAGCTCTCATTGGTATATTTTACGTATTTTCTTTTGCTTTTCAAAGCTTTCGTGATCGGAGGATTGCGAATCACATAGCGAAGCTCCTGATTTACACATTCTGTACTTCCTATGGATCATGGGCCCTTCTGGCAAGGATTACAGAATAAGTAGTCTAAATATCTTTCTGGAATGTTATAGCTTATTTTCTGACTTTTCTCTCGATTTCATTTTTTTGTGTATCTCTTTTCTAATGTCCATCTATGAAAGACCCCGATATGCCAGACTCACCTTAACGGAACCATTGCTGTCAGTTGGTCTCCCTTTTAGTCCCTTTTATCCATTTTTTCTCTCTAAAATTTTCCGACAAGAATATGACTATCCTCCTAACGATATCACATTAAGAAGTTTTCATGAGATTGGAAACTAACTTCCTACATGGTTCGAATAGTACTCGGTGATGGCGTCTGCGGAATTCCAAGCCGTTACCTGAGTTGTTTTCGTTGTTGAAAACTAAACGTGAGCAGAAAATGGCACAGCATTTAATCCTCAGACTGCTCATAGTAGATCCATGTGAATACTCTCTAAAAACTTGAATGGATACCCTTTTCCTAATCCGGAACCTTTACTTACTCGAGTGTTTTAAAGAAAAACTAGCTCTCTAGTGAGATTTGTTGTGTGATATCTGAAAAATGAAGAATTCCACCTCGGGACTCTTCCTGTTTGCCATTTGATCGCCTCGGCATTGGAACGATTCTTCGGAAGAAATGAAAAATTGTGGGAACACCACGATTGAGTCAATGACGTCTGGAGAAATGGGCCACTTCCCAGCATCTATGCAGTGTAACTAGGAGTTCAGGTGAACGATTAGATTCCGAATGGGTACACACCTGAGCCAACTAATGCTCCATCCCCTAAGGAGTGTTAATTGCTAGCAAACTCATCCGAGAATCTGAAAGTACTGACTTATTCATTGCCTGGCTACCGCAAGTCATTATATAGCCCGCATAATCAAAAAAGGCTTTTACGATTTCGAACAGGAGTCGGATCCGGGGTTCATTCTGGAACAAGATTGAGTAAAGTAAGGATTTTTTATATTATATATAATTAATATTATATATGATTATTAATAAGAAAAGAAGTTGGACCTATGTTGTGTACTTTTGACCGTTTATGCTTAGATAATGCGAGCAAAGCGTTGTGTCAGAAAAATGGTATACTCGACGCTAAACTTATTTCTTTTACTTGAGAAACTTCCCAAAGCTTCTACTTACGGCACTTTTTGAGCTCTCAGTAATTAAAATACGAGAAGATGAGAGATTGCAAATTCCCCGTTCTTCGATTCCTCGGGGATATGCATGTCAGTTATTCTGACGCCATACTGGAGACATTTCAATGGGTTCGAAGTGTTGTTGACTTCCGAGGAACTCAATAAAGAGAGTTGCCTTATAGCAGTTCCAAGCTTCACTAAGAGGGATTCATGTACAATTTCTATGGAACAGACCAAGATTTTCCAAAGATATGATTCAAGGTTCGACATACCCGGGGGAAGCACCGGTTATTCACCCAGTTCGGCAGGAGGGAGAGGGTAGGAAGAATGAAGTCAACGGTCATCGCTTCAACTTAGTTTTTAGGATAAGGCGTAACAAATCAGTAACTCTTCATGGCGCATGGCGCAACAATTTTTTCCCATATTTTTTCATTTACTCTACTTTTTATGTCCAGCTTTTACCGCACGAATTGTATGCATGGCGCATACTGACCCTCCGAGGAAAGCACCTTCGTTGCCCATAATACACTTTGCAACGTCATAGGCCTGAATCAAAGTTTGAAAGACTGAAGTCTGTATCTGAAGTCTTTGGTGTTAATCCATCCCGTCTTGAGATGCGCCTCGCATTTAACTTCCGTTTAGAATCGCAGTGGTATTTGAGTGCGTATATAGTCTTTACAATGTCCTGATGTACAGATCAGTGCTTCTATTTCTCCGAACGATTCTGGTACTGTCGTTCGATTCTAAAACTAGAAAGACTCGGTTGACTTGGACGAATATGAAGGACCGATCGACAGACCATGCTTGTATCATAGTGCACCACTGGTCACTACAACACCTGCTGCACCTACATCGAAGGTTAATTCTACTGATGAGTCAGTGGTCTATGAAACTTTCAACATAGACCTTCGCAATGCTATGGAATAATTGTAGTATGCGGTTGTAGCTGCAATTAAACTTTAATTGTATTGATATTTGGTGCTACAATACCTATCACGCCCTTAAAGACGCAGTTCACGAAAACAATGGTTCTTTGGATCTCCCCAGGCCCCTACTGATACGTATGTGTCCATGTCAGATCGCGAAATGTCCTGGACAGGGCACAATTAGGGGCCAGACATTGTATTGCGTGAATGCCACAACCACAACGGACGAATTTCAACGGCGTTGTAGAGGCTGCACTATTCCAATAGACTCCCATGTTGGGAGTTCAAACAGCTTGTCATGACCCATGACGACAGGGGAAGGCAATTCGAGAGAGTTTGACTTGATGTTGTCAGCTCTTTGCGCAATTGCACAACTTAAATCTCGTCCAAAAACCCCTTCCACGCCATTTCTATCATAGTAATCTCGTACAACCTCTATTTTCACTACTTTTGAGGAGCCTTATTTGTGCAAATTAGGCGGATTCTATCGCTTTCTTCGCCATTGATGCACTACTCAACCAACCTTCTTCAACCCATGACGTAAATTATTTATCTCTGGAGGATGCTGAATTGAAGAGTAGTCCACCCTCTCACATGACGTTGTTGGTCTTCGCTACGATAATTAGTTTCTCGGAACTTGAATTTAAATTAAACTTTGCATGTAATTAAATGCGCATCATCTTCATACTAGGGCTTCAAGGAACTCGGAAGAATTCACTCGGAGAGGGTTTTTCCGAGTAATGAGTGTCGAGGGAAGGTCTTTTTGAAAAATTTTTCTGGGAGTCTCGGAATTCGTATAAACCTCAATGTGACTACCAGTTATTCGGAGTGTCTGAAGGGTTAAAGGGTAGAATGTAGGTTTGAATAAAGCTTGACCTAGATGGCTATCTTGATCTTTCACTGGATAAGTCTCGCTTCACAGATCGTAAGTTACACTTCGTTGAGAATTGTTTCTTTACTATTGAAACCATTGTCTTGGACCAATGCCAAAGAAAGAAGTACGTGATGAAATTTCTCTAGAATGTCAGAATCTTGGAGATGACCTCATTTCAATTTATATCTCAATAAGTACTGGTAAGAGGCCATCGTCAGCCGCCCAACCATACCAGTACCATATAGGGGATTCCCAAAGTCTTCTTATAAGAGACCCAGGAGTATGCCAATCCCGTACTGGGAACTGAGAAACCTCCAGGAAAGAGTGCGGTTAAGTGCGAGTCATGAGGCACCACTGCGGCCATCGCACGCGGCAAGCGTGGCGCCGCGCACGTAGCGTACGGGCCGTGCGCGAGGTGACTCAGTGCCTCCTGACCATGACCCTCTCCTTTCGTGCATGTAAAGAAATTTTGAGGGTGTAAATATTTTTGTGATTATTCATTTCAAGACATCCCAATTGTCCAAGTTCTTAAAGTATCTGTATTACTGTAAAAAATTGACCAAGGATTGAGGCAGTTTTTCTTTCTAATCGTTTAATTTTCAGTTCGATCACATACTGTATCCGGTTTTGGTCTATCTTATACCGTTGTTACTATTATCGGTATTAAACTTCCGGATACTATCACATATCTCTGCTCAACGTGTTGCATTCGATCATAAGAGTCGATTGGCTCAAGAACGACGTTCGGTTACTCTGCTCATTTCCATTGTCAGCTTATTCTTCTTCTGTCATACGGGTGAGTTGAATTTTCTTTCAATTTCATATTCACGTTCGATAGTGTCTCATCATAGAAACAATGATTTTTTATTACAATTTTT